GTGATGGCGAACCTTTTAGAGACCGAGTGCCCAAACTGCGACCCAAAACCCACTTATTGATCGCAAAGTGCCAACATGGCAATTTAACCTGAATACTGAGGTTTTACTTTAGAAAAAAACAACTCTTACATTAACTTAAGATGATCCAAACAAAGGAAGGAAAGCAATCCCAAATGCTTTCATTTACTTAAAATTATTTGGCAGAGAATTCGACACTTTAATGATGGTCTGGGCCTGGCTGGGGCGATGGCAGGCGTGCCCACAGAGAGGGCTCTGAGTGCCACCTCTGGCACCCGTGCCATAGGTTCGCCACCACTGATATAGGGCTTTAAGACCAACAAAGTTTGATTCTGGGTATAAGCTTTCGGCTACCCACCTGAATCTATCATTATATAGGGGTTAACCCCCTCCCGACTCCATACACAGCTACCGAGATTAAATCGACATGGTGGGATTTTAAAAATCTCGGGACCAAACAGGGCAGGGGGGGAGAGAATACCAGCTCCGACATTTGTAGTGGAACGAAGCCCCGGGTCTTATTCTTGTTAATGAACATGTCCCTTTGAACAAACATATGCATGTGTTTGGAAAGAGCAAAAAGGGGGCTGGTTGCCCGGGACAAAGGAGAAGCCCCACAGAAGCGGAGGGGATAACTGGGCAAGCGATCCGGCTGTTTTAAATAAGGACAAAGGGAGAATTCAATGGAGACCAGCCGCCTGGGCGAACAATAGCGGCCCTTTTGTCCGGCCGGATAATGATCCTCTCCTTCATGCACAGGGGCCGATTGTCACCTGACAATGAAAAGCAACTGCCTCAGTTCATCATGCTGCCCGCGCTGTAAAAAATAAAATATGGCACTCGGAACAGGGACGTTCCTTACTCGAATCTCACCTGAGCCGCAGAGGCATTCGGCGAGACCTCTCACAGGTTCAGCCCACTGCCCCTACCCATATCCTCCCCACAGGGCTAACCACCCTGACCGGTCCATCCTAAGCAGAGCTATGCCCTCCCAAGTCCATTGATCTTGCTGGGCTTAAAAGGGAGCAATTCTGCTTAGAAGAAGAAGAGATTGGATTTATACCCCGCCCTTCACTACACGGAGGAGTCTCAGAGCGGCTGACAAACTCCTTTCCCTTCCCCTCCCCACAACAGACACCCTGTGAGGGAGGCGGGGCTGAGAGAGCTCTGACAGAAACTGCTCCTGAGAGAACAGCTCTGAGAGAACTTGTGACTGACCCAAGGCCACACCAGCAGCTGCATTTGGAGGCGTGGGGAATCAAACCCGGTTCTCCCAGATTAGAGTCCGCGCTCCTAACCACTACACCAAACTGTCTCTCGTGAGCTACCCACACTGTGAGCAACCCTTGCAGGGCTGTTGTGAAGATGACTGAGGACCAAACTGCCAGCGAAGGCCTTCGGGCCTGTTTGCTTAAACCTGCATTTACCCCAGTCGTGTGTAAAGGGTCAGGGTGTTTAGTCAGTTTAGTTAGTTTTATTATTACGGTCTTAAGACCAGCATACAATACAAACATGGTATGAGAAAGAAGGAAGAAACAGAGATAATACACAGAATAAAATCTAAATTTAAAAACTTTTTAAATGCGACTCCCACAATCTAAGAATCAATGCACAGAGGTCAGGGTGTTTTTTTCAGCAGGCCTTATTATGATTCATTAAAACATATCTTGCCTTTCTTCTCAGTTCAACAGCAGTTAGAACATCCCCAGCTAAAACCAAAGATAAAACAGCAAACCCCAAACTGGGGAGACAGACTGAAGGGGAATTTACACCTTGCACAGGGGAAGATCCCGCAGGCCCTGCGGAATGGAATGAATAAGGAACTGGGAATAAGGAACCAACTTCAGCCTCCTCCAAACCTGGGGGGGTATGAACAAATGGGTCTGCCTCCTCCAGATCTGGTCTGTCCCCCAGGTTTGCAGAATCGAAGTGTTTCGAATGCCTGAAAGGGCTACAGAAATCCTAACAAGGGACAAACAAACAAGCGAAATGAGCCCCCTCTCACTGAAAGGGTTCAGCCTTTTGGTTTTCTCCCGGGGATGAACACCACCTACACCCTGGTGGAGAGACCTCCTCGGGAGAGGCCGCCAACACCAGAGACAGAGAGGCCCCCAGTCGGATGGGACTGGCTATGCACCAGGTATGCCAGGCTCCAGGAGAGACCTGGGGATCCCCCGGAATTACAGCTCATCAGCAGACAACAGAGATCAGTTCCCCTGGAGAAAATGGATGCTTGGGGGGGGGGCGGAGCTCTTATGAGCAAAAATCCTACTTTGTGAACTTACTGGCATTATAGTTGTGAGCGAGCGACTTGGCCGCTGCATAAATCAGTTTGGCCCTGGGGCCATCCTTCCTGAGCGGAGACAAAAATGGGTGAGCCGGAGGCTAAGAAACTGT